AAGCACCATTTGGGATGTGATACTTTTTCTGTAGAACATGGGCCCAAAGGGAGTTCGGCTGGGTGGCTAGACACCACCACCATTTCCCTAGGAGTGCATGGTTATGTTTTCGAAGGATACAAATGCCAAGTCCTCCCTGCTGTTTGGGTAGGCATATGTTGTCCCATGCTACAAGATGAAACTTTGTCTTATCCGCCTGGCCCGGCCAGAGAGAATTACGCATGATCTGATCAAGTCGATTGGCAACCTGGGTTGGCATGTGGAATAGGGACATGAGGTAGACCGGGGAGTTGGCAATGGTAGCATTGATCAAAGTCTTTCTTCCTGCCAAAGATAGAAATCTACCCTTACACCCAGCCAGACCCTATCTACTTTGTCTAGGACATAGGACCATTGTCTTTTCTTGGGTTTATCCAATCCCAAAGGTAGGCCTAGATAAGAAGTCGGTAAGTCTTCCACTTTACATTCCCACCCCGGAATGAAGGACCTGACCTCTGCTGATGTAAGGGCTACACCCATCATTTTTTATTTATCGAAATTGACTTTGAACCTAGTCGCTGTTTGGAAGCACCTAAGGAAGAGTTTGAGGGTTTCAACTTCGTTGCAGGAGGCATCGACAAACACCAAGGTGCCATCTGCATACTGCAGATGAGACACTGTTGGTCCCTGTGGACTACTCCTGAAGCCCGACAACAAACCAGTTTCGTAGAGCTGGGAGATTGAGCGACTGAAGACCTCTGCCGAGATAACAAAGAGGAAAGGGGAAAAAGGGTCTCTTTGGCGGAGACCCCAAGAAGAAGGGGAAAAAAAGGGGTTCCGTTGATAAGAATAGAGAAATATGGATGTGAATAGCAACCTCACATCCACATTCTCCATTTATTTCAGAATCCCATTCTAGCCATCGTCTCTTCAAGAATTGACCAGTCCACATGGTCATAAGCCTTTCGCAATCAATTTTGAAAACAAGGCCCGGTTTCTTAGCCAGGTGCCTCGAGGGGATACACTCGTTAGCTACTAGGGCCCCATCAAGAATCTGTCTATCTTTGAGAAAGGCAGATTGATTTGAAGAAATAACTGAGGGGCAGACCTGTTGGAGTTTGGAGGCTCGGACTTTAGCCAAGATCTTGTACGAGGAATTCAGGAGACTAATGGGGTAGAAATCTTTGATTTCCTCAGCACCTTCTTTCTTAGGAACTAGAGCTATGAAGGTTGCATTAATGGCTTTGTGCAGAGTACCCCTGTAGAAGAATACCTCGAAGAATTTAAGGAATTCAAGACAAAAGGTGTCCCAGGACTCCTTGAAGGGAGCAATCGAGAATCCATTGGGACCTGGTGCCTTGTCTTTGGCTAGAGCATTGAGAGCCAAAAATATTTCTTCCTTTGTGAACTGTTGCTTGAGCCAAACAGCTTTTTCGTCTGGGAGGGTAAGAAAATCAAGGGAAGACATTCTCGGTCTAAGGCTAGATGGGGCAAAGTAAAGAGTCTGGAAGAACTCTAAAATTGCCTGCTTTATCTCAGCAGGTTGAGTGAGGTGTCTGTTATTAACCTTAATCATCGAAATTGAATTGTCTCTCCTGCGACAATTTGCAATGCGATGGAAAAAGGCAGTATTCTGATAACCTGCTTTCACCATGTGATTCTAGATCTCTGGAACCCGTAGATCTCTTCTTTTTTGAGAGTTGAATGGTACTCAAGTTTAGACTTAGAACGGAGGTCTATCTCAAAGGGTTCCAGTTGCCTAGTCTCCTTGAGCCGATCAATCTCTTGGATGGTATTCAACAGGGAGGACTTGAGTAAGGAAAAATTGTCGGGGATGGATCAACTCCAAGTTTTGATCAAGGTTTTAAGGATTTGAAGTTTGGTCTGGAGGATATACCCTGCCCTGCCCGAGACTTGAGCAATAGGGGAGTTCCACCAGGTATGAAGGAGAGTAGGAAAGTCCATTTCAAGAAGAAGGTGGAGTTCATATCTGAAGGGCTTGGGACCTCTCAGAATGGCAGTTGTGTCAAGCAAAATGGGGCAATGGTCTGAGGTGGGTTTTGGAAGGGCTAAAAATGAGGATCTAGGAAAATGGTCCTCCCACTCCAAGGACAGGAGGAACCTATCTAATTTTGAGAGAGTGGGGTTGGAAGCGTGATTGGACCAAGTGAAACTACTACCCTGAAGGGGAATGTCTAAGATCTCCGTCCGACTGATGAAGTCTGAGAAATCCCGCATTTCCGGAGAAATCGAGTTTGAGGAATTTCTCTCATGGGATCAATGGGTGACATTGAAGTCCCCTCCCAAGCACCAAATGGGATGTGGGAGGGAGACTACATGTCCCTGTTCAGACCAAAGCCTGCTCCTGAGGGAAGAAGAGGCTGAGCCATAGACCGCCGTAAAGAATATCAGATATTGTGCAGTTTTTTTTTCTTAAATTGAAGTGTACAGTTTAGAGAGTTCTTAGAAAGTCTGTAAAAGTTTGCATACATCAACGAAACTTAGTTCACATTAAAAAAAAAACAAAAAAGACAAGAAAAATTGTTTATCTGGGATGGGGAGTCAAAGCAAAGAAATTCTGCTTAGGTTCTCCAAAATCTTTTGAAGAACAGGATCAAAAACTTGGAGGATGCTCTTTTGATTGGACCAACTACCAACTCGAATCATTGCATGTTTTGCCAGCTAGGGCAAGAAACCACTACAGGCAAATGGGAGTCAACAGCCCATCTTTCTGAGGACATTAAGTTACCATCTTCCAAAACCCCATCTAGAAAGATGAAGGGCAATCAGGATGGTGAAACATATGCCTCTCCAAATGCTAGAGCACTCAAGGTTCGAGCTAACATCTAAGAGAGAGGCAACTCTGACAATTATTTCAATATGCTAACATCAATGGGAGTCCATAATCAACAGGTTCCAAGCCAGGTTCACCATCCTGGCAGTATTAATATAATCATATCTAGTAAGCATCTACAAATCTACCCTCTTCTTTGGACACTATGTGATGTCCCATGAAGCCCTAATGCTCCATAGAACCAAACTAAAAAAAGGAAGAGGGATATCTTAGGAGAGAAAACAAAGAGACTAAAGAGTGAGGGGCAATATGCATGGCACTGCTTTCACTCAGATCGGCAAAGCAGGTATCCAGGAGGCTCTCCCCAATCTCTCCACATCTTTTCCAAAAGCTGGGTCAAAAAGCTTGTTTTCCCATAGTTTGGAGATAAAGAAAAGGAAGAACACATGAAAAAGAGTTTCTGGAGTAGGGTACATCTGATTAATATGTGACCATTTTAGTAAGAGAGAGTGAGGACTTGCATTGATGTGATGAATACCTGATTAATATAAAAACTATTTTTATGCGAGAGGGAGAGAGAGGACTTTCATGAAAGCAAGATAGGAAGCATAGATGAAAGTGAGATGGATCAATGAAATAGCATTTAATAGAAGGCGAATGTGATCCCATATAGATAGATATAAGTTCCTACCCTCACTGGTCGATCCCATGTAATGGGATTCCTACTCCCACATCGGTGCCCTGCTCTAGAACCGCCTCATCGAGGCTTCAGAGCAGGACCACCACCTCTATGCGTCGCTCACTTTAACAATGCACCTGCTACAGAGAGAGGCCGCTCTCCCACAGAGGCAATTTTCCATGGGAATTTTGGGTGGCTCCTTTTTAAAGTGAGAGACTCCCATTGCTCATTGCAGCTCTTTCTAGTAGTTGTTTAACAACGACAATGAAAAGGAAAGGCGAATGTTGTTGATCTAGAGAGCAAGTTTAGAAAGAAATACAGTTGAGTGTTGGTAGTGTTTAGAAAGATGACTATTTATGACCCAAAATCCTGAATCTCATCAAAATAGTGGACTTCAGTTCGTTGTAACTCCTGGATAAATCATCTAAATCATGTGCTCTTGAGCTTGATTTGGATTTATTTGCTGCACTTATATTTGTGGTTCATACTCACCTATTTTGCTTCTATCCTATTACACACATGATCATGGGCCGGATCCTGTTTATTTTGTGCTTACTTCTACATCTAGGCAGTCCTTCAACCCAACTATAGCATCATGTGTCTAGCAGAGATCTCTACACAAACTTTAGCCAAAACCTCATGTTGACATATCATCATCATCATCAAATCCTTTTTTCCCTAACTATTTGGGGTTGGCTACACGAATCCTAGTCCGCCATTCTTCTCTCTCAAGGGTCGTACCCTTAGTGAGGCCATAAATCCCCATATATTTTTTTACTACTTCCAACCATGTCCTTCTAAGCCTATCCCTTGCCCTTTTTGAGCCTTCCACTTGGTATAACTTGCACCTCCTAACAGGTATTGTACTGGGTCTACGCTGCACATGGCTAGCCCACCTAAGTCTACTTTCTATCATCTCATCGCCTATTGGTACCACACCTAAGTTATTCTAAATGTATTCATTTCGAATTCTATCCCTTGTCTTGCCACTCATCTATCTCAATATCCTCATCTTAGCTACCCTCATCCTATGGGTATGTTGCTTCTTGACTGCCCAACATTCTGTCCCAAAAAACAAAAATAATCTCACAACTAACCTATAGAACTTGCCCTTCAACTTCATTGGTATGCGACGATCACATAAAACTATGTACATCTCCACTTCTCCCACCCAACTCCAATTCTACGTGCACCATCTTCCTCAATCTCTCCATTCTCTAGGATTATCGATCCAAGATATCGAAAGCATGCTCTTTTTGGAATCTCTTGGCTATCTATTTTAACCACTTCCTCGTCTCTACTCCTCTGATTACTAAACTTGACATATCTAACATAAATTTTTCCTTTTGTAATTGATGGACTAATAGAATTAAAAGTGAACAGCTGTGAGTATACAAATAAAAGTTCACATTATTATAAAACAATAAGAAAAATATGCTGCTCAGTAGGAACAAATATTTCAGCTGAGACCCACTAAGATTCCTTGATTTCCTTCACTACATGTCCATAACTGTAAGCTACAAAAACCAATGAATTATTTTGAAGTACCTTAGTAGAGATGTTGGCCAACACAGAATCCTAGAAAGGATGATCGTCGTGGCAACACAGCCACTTAGGCCAGCAAAAGCTCCCTCTAATGTCTTCTTTGGACTAATGTTAGTGAGTGGAGTCCGACCAAACATCTGCACATGAAAAAGACAAAATGAATGCTTCTTCAATGCAACCTGCAATTATTAAAAGGTGACCAACAAGAATAACCTGCTTTTTCATGCAAATAATATGAATTACAAACAAGTAATAGTAATAGAAGTGTTGATTTCATTATTTAGACGTAAGAAATAATATACTTAAGCACGTCTGTTTCAGGAAACCTGCGCACCCGAAAACAAGGCAGAAAATAATAATGATATTGATATTATTATAAAAATAAAATGATAGTTATTTCATAAATAATAATGACATGATAATTATTTGACAAAATATTTCCTAGTGCATGTAAAGCAATTTATCAAACCTACTATGCCATTTGTCTAGCCTATCTAATGTAAACACTGTTATAAAATGATTTAGAAGCTTTTTGTTAACATGTTCTAAAATAACATCAACAAGTGATTCCATTGAAAAATAATAAATCATTTAAATTCATCACCAAACATACAAGGAAAGAGGTACAATTAGCATTCCAATTAAAAGGGAAAACAGTAAAGACAACGCCCACTTTCGAGAACTAGAAACTCATATCTTCCCCAAGGTTTTTGTAGAGTTATACGCATGTGAGGGCATAACTCATTTCTGCATTGCATATTTTTATTACATTATTTGCATTTTGCCTTTTTTGGGGACATAAATGCATATACCAAAATGTCTCAAGGGCTCTTTGACACCTGATGTGAATGCAGAATGGACATTCATTCTCTCCCTAATCGTCCATTTGCTCGCTTTCTTTTGCAATCTAACTACAAACTACTGGAATTCCTTAGGGTCTCCTTTTATGCAAGTTATTGGTGGTATTCACTCCTTAGCTGTTGTGTAACCTAAACACCAAGACCACCAAACAAAGGCCCTGGGCCTCAAACCCTTGACCAGGGAAAGGATCCATGGTTGCACCACTCTATGTGTGAACAAACGAGTCCTTAACAAATGAGAAAAAAAATCTAGACTGAGAATGACCATGAAGACATCCAAAGCCACCGTCAATAGTGAGAACTGTCCGCTCCAAGCACCTTCTATGTAGTGCATATACGAACATTTAATCCTACATGAGTATGAGCTGCACAAGTCTTCTTAAGAACGCTACAGGTTACCCCATTGAGGTGCCATATAACAGACTTTGTAACCCTCGCATCATCCCTCCCAGAGTAGAGAGTAGCTAGGTGGATGGGCTGATGAGAGAAGTCTAAAGAATACAAGACCAGGAAACTCTGCACAAGTTTTAGTCCAGTCACGGCGTCTCACTTACACGTGCTTCAGGAGCATCCTAGCATAGGACCTCGAGTCTCAAACTAGTAGTCCTTAAGGGGGTTACCTTAAGAATCGAGCATGACCTGCATCGCAGATCATGATATTGAGCAGGCTTAAGCTCTCTAACACTAGGAAGATGATCAAGGGTGCTTTGAGATCAATCTCCCTAAGCATATGTTGATGAGATATCCAAAGCATTTTGATTTCCAAATAAAAGGGACATTCTAAGGAAAGAACGGGGCTCTGAAAGGCATGCCCTTCGCCCCACTTCTTGTACACAACCATCTTTTCCAGACAATCAATAAACTGGAAAATCTATTGGCTTGAGCATTATGGGATGAGGAACATAAGAGCATGCTAAGATCACCAGCATCCGGCTTTCAACTAGAGGAATGCCTACATCATGAAGAGGTCATATTCATGGCGGCTTTGTTTCGACCAATGTTCGAAAATTCGGCCGCCCAGTTGCCTAGGCAGCCAAATTGCTAAAACGCCAAGGCGAAACTTTAGGCGGGGCACCTAAGCGGCTTGCGTCTAGGCAGGGAAGGTGCCACCTAGGCGCTCCAGTCAAGGTGGCCGCTTAAGAGCTTCCTCGATGCAGGTTGCTAAGGCCGGAAAATGCCCTCAGCAAAGGTCAAATTTAGAAACTCCCCCCCCTAAAAAGGGGGGGAAAAGGGTTTTGGGGGGTAAACCAAACCCCCAAAGCCTAATCCGTGGCTAATAGAGAGATTAAACCTCCCTAAAAACCTCGAATCAGTGATTTATCAAAAGATTGACAAATTTTCGATTTTTTTGATTTCTTCCCAAAACAAAGGCAATAGTTCGTGGGTGTTTATGGAGATTCTAGAAGTCGATTTTGCAGACTTTCAACGACCTAATGGACGAGGTTTGTGCTGACATCAATTTAATTTTGATATTTTTAAAGCATTATCATATTTGAATAAGGGTTTGATTTGTTTTTGCTATGTTGTATTATGTTGTGAATCATTTGTTTTTTTTTTTTACTTTATTTTTCTTTTATGATATATTTACATGTTTGTAGTTGGAAGATTGACTTTTTTTGTGATTAATTGATCTTTTCCTCATTTGGACGATGAAATTGGGCTTATATCGAATTCTTTTATGAACATTAATTCTTTTCTTGTACAATTTGTCATGTTTTGATATTCGATCATGTTTGTTTTACTTAATTTGATAAATTAATAATTATGTTATATCTTAATTCTTACATGAAGTTATATATGATTGTTTTTTTCGGATTGACATCGTATACATTATTTCTTAGGACTAGGTTGTCAATAAAACTAACATCTAATATCTTTATTTAAAACTTATATCGAGTTTCTTATGTTTGCAGGGACCTCAACTTTTCCTTCTGCTAATATTAAGATTGTATGGACCTCAACTTTTCCTTATGCTAATATTAAGATTGCAAGGACAAGTAGGAGGTGGCAAATCCAGGAACCCCAGGCCTCACCAAGTCTCTATTCTCAGTAAACTTCCTCGTCATGGCTAGGACCTGACTAATATAGAATTCCCTAAGTTAAGTAAATTACCCTCAATGAATCAATGCATTCAAAATACTCATATAAGTAAAACAAATAACTAAGGAACTATAATAACCGTAAACATAGTATAGTACTATAGTGTATACATGGGTGTGACTGTATAAAAAAAGTGTGAGTTTCCTTGCCTTTTTGATGGTTGCCTCCAACGGCCTCAAGCATGAGGTCTATGCAGTGTGACGTATGCAGTGTGACTGAATACATATCAGTCACAACTTGGACCACATTATCCTTCCCTATCTCTTATGTGCACTGGTCAACTAAATTAAAAATGAATTCTGCATTATGATACTTCTCAAAAGTATCAATAGACCTGAAGAACATTGTCCCTAATGGACAATTCACCATCAAATTCATGATGCTTTTGTTTCTCTTATCACTCCAATCATCCGTCATGGTTGTGCAACTATATACACCCCACGCATCCCTATGGGTCTTCAAATAGTTATTAGTTAGCTCCACTTCTTTCCTAAGTATTGGCCCTTTAAGCTCATAAGCAGATGGATCCTTCAACCCAAACTAACCCACTGCTTCCCACACAATCTGGAAGCTACTCAAGTTAGCGGCATTAAAATACATGCCTGCTTTGAATGACCACCTCCCCACATATTGGGGGTGGAATGCACCCAAAACCCTTTCCCCATTTAAAAAGGTGAGAAAATTACTTAAACTGCCCTCAGTGGAGGGCCTTTCTCCACCCACACGCCAAGGTGCTTGAGGCCCACCTAGGCACCTAAGCAGGTGCAGGCAACTAGGCAGGCTCTTGATCGTCTAGGCACCTCAATGCCCAAGCACCCCACCAAGGTGAATCCGATGAGGTGAGGTCTCCTGGCTACCTAGGCGTAGGTGGCCAAAATTTCGAACCTTGATTCAGTAATTAGACAAGCCACTCACTTAGATGTCAAGTTCTAGGAGAATGATATCTAGCTAGATTCCAGCTTCACATTTCTATATGCAGAAATACTTGCCATTCATAAGGGCATATCGTTTGTTCACTATAAATCCTTCCATCAACATGACAGTTCAGAAACTTGGAAGTTACACAAAACTCATGGACTTTACTAGAATAGACACTTTACAATACAATATTAAGAGACCAAAATCAGAAAAAAAATAAATAAAATAGAATTTTAACAAGGGACTTCCACAATTAGTTTTCTTGAATCATCATAGAAAGATCCAATAATCATATTTACCCACCAAAAAAAACGAAATTGACATGACTTAACAAATGCAAAAGTAGTACGTGATAATAAATGATGGTACACCACAAATAGAACACAACTCGTATAACAGGGCATTTAACATAGGCTCTTTCAGAAAGTCAAAAGAGCTTTAGCTGAATAACTTCTGCAACTCATTACAAACTCTTCATTTGATATAAGAAAGAAACTCACAAATAAACATGCCGTAAAACATTTTTCGTGTATAATAATGGTCTTGCAAGGAGCCAAGGTGCTTTTTCATGATCATGACAAGCTAATGTGTCACGAGCCTGATAATCTTCAGTAAGTCTCAAGTTCCCAAAATCAATGCCAATGATAGAAATCCAAGTCTGTTATACAATCTATGTAAAAGCTATCAATAACCTAAAAAATTCAAATTTGTGACAAAATGTCAATGATAGCAATGGCATTTTTAGGAGGTTAAGAGCATTTGCTAGACCCCAAATTTTGCGCATACACTTTCTTCAACCCGACAAGCAGCTATAAAAAATTGAAGAAAACCTTAGAAAATAGTTTTTCTAAACTTTGTGAAGGCCATCTAAATTATGGGCGGCCAGATCTAGTCCTTTAAGAATTCAAAATCAATTGTTTTATTTTAATTTTTATGTGGTGATAAGGCCTTTTACAAAATTTGGGGTCAAACAAACCCCAATAAGGCTTGAAGCTAGAACTTTCTCTCTCCTCAGATGAAGGGCCATGTTTGTTGTATTTTCTCTCTCATTAAAAAACCATTTTCCAAGGGATTTCCCTAATATTATTTCATGAGCTTGTTCCCAAGTTGAATAGAGAGCCTGTGCAAAATTTAAGGCCAAACAAATGTCCCCAACACTCCCAAAAATAAGGAGAACAAGTCAGTAACCACACACACACACAATTTCACTAAGTGCATACAAATGAAGACGAACCCTTAAAAGAAGGCAAAAACACTTACCTTTCCTCCAAGATACGCACATGTATCTGCTGCAATCACACCGCTGATAGAAATCAAGGTTGCAACAAGACCAACAGTCCAATGGGCCTGGCCCCCAAGAAGAATGGGCCATGCAGCACCTATTTCTGCCAATCATAAACTGGTTAAGAACAAAATTTCAGTAAAGTGCACAATGACAAAAAAACAAAAGGAAATTTTACAAACAAATTTGCATATGAAAACTAACATACATAGTTAACAAAAACAAATTAATTATATACATAAACTTAACAAAAGTATCAAATATTTCTTAGTGCTCCAAAATCAATAGCAAGGTCCATTCTTTTAAAGCTCTAATAGATGGACTGATATACATCCAAAGATATAATCAAATGCTAATTAATGGATGCACTTATAAGTGCAAAGCCATATTGTCGCGACCCCGCTCCCTGCCGTCCCCACTGGACCCACAGAGCGCCAGGCCTGGGCCCGCTCGAAGACCGTAGGGTGTGGGGCCATGATCCATATGCATGTACCTAAGGATGTAACAACAATTACATAATATTATGAGGAAAATAGGTTCCATCTATTGGATAGAAGCACAAAATTAATCAAAAGGCCAAAGCAACTAAATATGAACAAGGCACAAAAAAAGGTAGAATCTCCATCTAAGGTCTTCTGAATAAAAAGTAAAATATCAAAAATATTTCTTGAGATATCATGACCCATCTGCCAGGGTTTCAGCCAATTAATGTTTTCTTATCTTAGCTCTATTAGGAATCATGCTTGGGCTTGAGTGATTAGTGGTTCACGATTGGAACAGTATGTCTTGAGTTCGATTCCTACCACTAAAACTACCCTAAGGAAAAACTAAAAAAAAAAAAGATGACCCAAAAATATTTTTGTTCGCGATTCTTTTGACTTCTCAATGGCTAAGCTAATTGGAATTGCACGCTGCTCAAAAAAAATGTGACCCACAATAGGCCATTCTGATTACATTATAAAGAGCAATTACAAATGGATAAGAATGCATTATAAAAAGGTAGTACGCGAGTTATAAAACTGCCAGTATCCATGCATTACACAACATTCTCTATAATAATTGTTAACAACTAAATTATTTCGTGGTTATTAATGCTAACTGTAGTATGGGGTATCTTTGTCCTTTTTATAAACTTTAGGCCATTTTCTTTTTTGGGTAATCAAAAACTTTAGGTCATTAGGTTTCATTAAATTACTTACAAGGGAATTTTTCTAATATGTATCACATCATCAATTATAAATGAAAGATTAAGAGGTGTGTGGTTTAGATGTAACCTAAGGGCACCTCACTTTCTTTCTCTCTCTATCACACCACTCTCTCTTTCTCTGTCCACGTGTTTCTCCTCTTTCTCGTCTCACTTCTTCTTCTTCTCTTTTCTTCAACTTCTTGTTATTTGATATGTATTAACATATGGTACCGCAGTAGATCTGACCTTTTCATCTTCCCCTTTCCTTGAACCCTTGAATTTTTAAAAAAAAAGGGGGGGGAAGGGGTGGGGAGGGGGGGTGAAGGGGAAAGTCTAATGTCGATGCTGATCTCATCAAGGGGTACCTAGGTTTTCCTTTTATTTGGTGAGCAGAACTATGATGGTGGCCTACAGGTGTGTAAATGTTTGTGTTACTGAAGTTTCCTCTCTTGGATGTGGAAAGCCAAGAGGAATAGTTGTTGAAATGTCTCAAAGTGTGTGGGCTGAATCACATTGTAGCTGAGAGATATTTGTTCATCAATATCTGAGCGTTAAGTATTCTTTCCATAGGTGATTGAAAGATTGTTGTTTGTGTAGTTCTTTGCCTTGCAAACTGCTGTTTTATGTGATTCATTTGATATATAAAGTTCAATTTAGTATTTTAGGGCTTCTAATAGTGCTCGGCCTGATATGTCCTCGCATACCATTTTTCCTGTGATTTCCGCCCTTATGGTTGAAGAAAGTGAGCCTGGAATTTCTACCATTAGTGACATGATACGAATTCCAACAACTATTGTGAAATTAAATGGGCCTAATTACCTCTTATGGGCCCAACCTATAGAGGTATTTCTAAGTGCAAGGGGTAAGATGAAGTTTTTGACCGAAGATGGGACCAAAAGAGTCAGATAATGGGTATGAAGAGTGGCTTAAGGAAAATTATCAAATTATGGCCTGGTTATGAACAATATGAAACCTCATGTGAGTGTTAATGTTATGACTTTTTATACTGCCAAGGAAATGTGGGAGGTTGTACATGAGATATACTCTTCCGACAAATTTATCAATTCATGAGAACATGTTTCTTTTATAACAAGGTGACATGAGTCTTAGTGACAACCACAATACTCTTCAGGGTATGTTGGAAGAGTTAAACATGTATCAACCCCAATCAAATGATATAGCGCTCCTAAAGTAGGGAAGAATTTAGAGTTGCAAAATTCTTGTCCAGCCTTAGTTATGAGTATCATTCTGTTCGTGTGCAGATCTTAGCTAGCAGTGAACTTCTCTCAACAATATGCATTGCCTTCTTCAACAGGTTACTATATTTATTCTCTATCAGCTCTCAGTACTAGTGATAGATCAGCCTTGACTTCCTCCATGGGTAGAGATGATGGTAGAGGCCATGCTGGTGGAAATAGAGGACATGGTCATGAGAGGTCGTGGTAGAGGCCGAGGCAACAAGAAGAACAATGGATGAGGAAATGGATGCACTTCAATCAAATGGCACGTGGGAACTTACTGCTCTGCCAGCAAAAAAGAGACCAGTTGGATGTCATTGGTGTATACAATTAAATATCGACCAGATGGATCTGTGGAGAGATTAAGAGCTAGGCTAGAGGTAAAGGAATTTACACAAACCTTTGGTATTGATTTAACGGAGACATTTGCTCCAGTGGCCAAGCTTAATTAAGTTTGAGTGCTCACAACTGTAGTAGAAAATAAGGGGAGGCTATTGTGGAAATTTGATGTTAAGAATGCCTTGCTTCATGGTGATTTACAAGAAGAGGTGTCTATGGAGCAACGACCAAGGTATTGTTGCTCAAGGGGAGTCAGACAAAGTATGTAAGTTCAAGAAAGCAATTTATGGACTGAAGCAGTCCCCAAGTGCATTGTTTGAGAAGTTCAACAAAATTGTTATAGCATATGGGTTTCAACGGAGTCATGTAAATCATTCCGTATTTATCCAGAAACAATGAATTGGAGTTATTGTCTTGGTGGATTAGTTGATGACATCATCATTACGGGGAGTGATCAAGAAGGAATTAATGAATTGAAGGGTATCTAGGATAGTATATTCAAAAAAAAGATTTGAGACAACTGAGGTACTATCTTAGAATTGAGGTAGCCCGGTCTCGTATGGCATTAGTATGTCTCAAAGGAAATATGTAACAGATTTACTGATAGAAATAACGATGATGGATGTTAAGCAAGTTGATACCTATAGATCCAAGTTCTAAACTATCAAAGGAGCATGGATAGTTTTTTGGAGACCCTGACAGATACTGAAGGCTTGTGGGTAGACTTATCTACCTGACAATCACCCGACCAGATATCGCTTTTGTTGCAAGTATAGTGAGTCAATTTAAGCATCCTCCCATAACACCACATTAGGAAGCAATAAGGAGTATTTTGAGATATCTGAAGGAGCCTCCAAGTCAAGGACTCATCTACAGGAGGAATAGCCATTTTTGCATTGACAACTATTTTTGATGTTGAACTGGGCAGGGTCTCAATTAGACACAGGATATACTACAAGCTACAATACCTTCGTTGGAGGAATTCCGGTGACCTGGGACAGCAAGAAACAGAGTGCGGTAGCACGATATAGTGTAGGGGCTGAGTATAGAGCAATGGCTCACAAAGTATACAAACTAATGTGGGTGAAAATCTTGACACAAGAAATGTGAATCTCAATTACCGAGCCGATGAAGAGGCTCTGCGACAATCAGACAGCCATACATATTGCTAGCTATCCAATTTTCATGAGAGGACAAATGATATCGAGGCAAAATACCAATTTACTTGGGAGAAAGTGACAAGTAAACATACATCAACTCCACATGTGAAGTCAAGGGTTCAATTGGTTGATATATACACCAAGGCTCTCGGTCATAACCAAACTCAGCAGATTTGTTCCAAGCTGGGCATAGGTGATATCTATGCTCCAGCTTGAGGGGGACTGTTAAAGATTAAATTATTTGGTGGTTATTTGTGCTCACAGAAGTATGGAGTATCTTTGTCCTTTTCATAGACTTTAGGTCATTAGGTTTCATTAAATTACTTACAAAGTCATTTTTGTAATATGTATCCCAACATCTATTTTATGAGTGGTTTAGATCTAACCTAAACAGAATTAGAACTGCCCCGTACACCTCCTGTTCTTTCTCTGTTTATCATGTCACTCTCTCTTCCTCTCTCATGTTTCTCCTCTTTCTCGTCTCACTTCTTCCTTTCTTCTCTTTTCTTCATCTTCTTGTGATTTGATGCTTATTAACAATAATAATATAAATTCCACCACTCTTCGCATCCTAAGAGTGGAATTGCATTGTTGCAGCTCTAAGACTTCAACAACCTGCTAGGAACACAACCACCATTTCACATTCTTCCATCCATACCAGCCCAAATATGTAATAGGTAAAAAATACACTGACTTTAGCAAGCATATTTACTTAAACAATCCAGATGTACTCATTTGAAAATAAGTCCACCTCTTCTCCTCTTGCTCACAAAGAAGATGCACATTGTAATCCAAGTCTCTTCCATGGGTTTACTTCATTTCCTTTTTTTCTTTTTTTCCCTTTTGATAATCAGAATTCCATCATTTTTATCAGTTTCTTCCATGAGGTCCCCTGTATAAAGTAAGTTCAGCCACTGCTTCCCTCTTTGGCACAAAACAGAACTACAAGGAGAATGTATGTCACCAGCAGCTCTTCTACACACACGTATGGCAACCAGTTGTAGTCAGTGTTTCAAAAAGCCGACTGCCCAGCGCCTGGGTGTCCGCCGGTTCTGGGGGTCTAGGCACATCGCCCAGGCCTCGGCGCTAAAAAAAAACAGATATCCCTGGGCGCCCGCCTAGGCGACCGCCCAAGGGCAGAAATGCCCCTCGTTGAGGGGTATTTTTGGGTCATTTTTTAATACTAAAGGTGCAAAATTGTGGATTTTAGGTTCATTTGAAACCTAAAACCCATTAGAGCCTATTTTAGAGAGAGAAAACCCAAACAAAAAAAAAATTACTGGGCCACCCAGGTTCTGGGCACCCCCACGACCGCCTAGGTACCGCCTATCGCTTTTTGAAACACTGGTTGTAGTGTAATGTTCTTCGAGAAGGAGAAGTTTAGCTCCCAGACAGATTCCCTTAACCATTCTTCAGGTCAGACAGATTACAATTTGCTCACAGATATTGGCTCTAAAGGCTTGGAGATTGTAGCAACAATTTGAGGGATCCGAGTTTCAACAATACCTGGCACCTACTAAACATACTTGGTGTGATTCCTACTAGCAGTTCAATGATGGGAAAAATTCCAAAGAGAATCTCATTTATTTCTTCTTGCACATAGCTCTTGGCCATGACAGAACATTTTACTGTATGTAATTTTTTGTTAAAAAAGTCAACCCCATTATAAGCATCCTATTCTGTACTACTCTACTATTAATGAATAGCATATACATCAAGGGTGTTTGCCCCTCATAATTTTGTTACTACCAATTGATTCTAACTTACAAAAACAAAAGGGGGCACATGCTTTCTTTCATAAGGTAAAAAACATTAAGTGCTTAATATACTGCATTAATAGATGAACACTGTACCACCATTACAATTTCTACAGTTACAAACAATGGGAAGAGACCACAAATGTGTGCCCATTTGAGCCCATAAAACAAATCAGAGAACCATTTGCGAGTAGATTGATCTGAAACCACAGCAGAAACTTTGGAACAACAAACAATAAAAAATGCATGTATCATTATCACACTAGTTTCAGAGAGTTCCAGCTTATAGTTTTCAATAGCTTGAACTAGTTTCCTATAGCAACTGAAATATATTTTGCATACCCACTACATTTCAGTGATACAGTTTTGTGAAAGAGAATAAACGAAGATCAGGCTTCCATATATTTAAACAAGTTTTCTCAAGCCTCACTCTCAAATACTGCAGGTCTTGTTCATGAGTGAATAACAAATTTATCTTATTTATCTAGTTACATGAGTAATTTATGACAACTACAGGCAAATAAACAGCATTGAAAGGAAATTAAAATACATGGAACAAGTTCAACTAGGTCAAACAATTTAAGACATTCACCCAACAAAGAACCAGCCACAAAGGGAGAAAAGTATTCAGAATTAGAAAGAAAACTATTCATATTTAGAAAGCTATTTGCAATATAAAAAATCCATTCACCCATTATCTAGCCTTTCTATCATATATACATTAAATTACATAGTGAGACAAGCATATATGTTATGACTTGAAATAAACGCATCAGTATGAACTAATTTACTTTCATGGATTGAATTGTTCAAAGAAGCATCTCAGAAGGCTAAATGACATACTGGTATATAAGGCCGGAACCGCCAACCCACATCTCAGTTTAACCCAAAAACAAGGAAGGTAGCCACAATAAAATAACCCAAATATGGCACTACTCAGCTGTGCAAATCGAGGATTTCCCCTCTGCAAAATCAGTGCAATGGCTACCACAAAGGCAAATGATGTCACGGAGGGGCCCATGCGACCAAACCTAGACATTGGACAAAAAGGAAGTTAGCTCACAAGCTCCTTGACCAAATTCATCGAATACACGCACGGAAAGCATTTATCTAATGTTAATAAGAGATATCTGTGCAGTTGTCAACGAAAGCAAGTTCAAATATGAACAATTTTGGCTATTCACCTACATGTACTTCTTCTACTCAAAGGTAAACATGCATACATTGCTAATTGCAAACAAACATAGTAGCAAGTAATAGAACTTCATAACACTGGATTAAAAGAGAGAAATAATCATATAACAAACCTAAGGTGCTCAGACAAAAATAAAAAATTAAAAAATAATAATAAAGAACGAAAGAAAGAAGCTATGCATGGAAAACCAAGCTAGTGGCTATCAAAGCCGTCAACCTCCTATTGCTTCTAGATGATTATGCAGTCACCATAAGGAAGTAAGACAAGGAGAAAGAGGAAGTCGCAGGTGTGGACAACAGTGCCAAAAATAACTCAGGACCAGAGTCAAAAAGCCCAAGGCACACATTTTAGAGTCAAACCTGGTATACTCTCCACCAAACTTTACAACCACGCTGTAAATGCCTACATGACCCCAATAAAAAATTCTCGAGTCCAAAAACAAGTAGGCTGACAATCGGGCTGGGTTGGCTGCAGATTTTTGCCTGTGCCTATTACGGCTCGAATCCAAGGCCTACAGCTGGTTCATGCTTGAATTTAGGGCCCACAAACTGGGCCAGGTCACCCTTGGCCCAGGTCGAATTTCTATGGTCAATATGTTAGTATTTTTGGTTTGAAAAATGCTTAAGTGTACTTCAAAACAACTTTGGTTTTATTGTTCTTTCCTAAATTACTTTGTAGAAAGAGAAAGATGTGGGTCTGAGTCCCACATTGAAGAGGAGAGAGTTTGTTGAGCTATATTTAAGAGCACGCATTCCCATGCAATATACTCTAAGTACAAAAGAGAGAAGGCACATGTGCGGAGCACACGACGCGTGCGACGCACACGTGCATGTGCATGTGCTTGTGTGAGGGCGAGGGCAAGGGCACTTGATGGTGCACTTCGCATGCTCACATCGACGCATGACGCGCCCCTGCTTGTGTGAGGGCGAGGGCAAGGGCACTTGATGGTGCACTTCGCATGCTCACATCGACGCATGACGCGCCCCTCGCCTGAGCACGTGTGCAGGTCGGGCTAGTGGCTTGTTATCTTTTTGTGAGCCCAGCTCGTAGGGGGATCCAACGGTCATCTAGTCGTTGATGCGTGTGGGACATCCAACGGTTATCTAGCAGTTGATGAGATGGAGGCATGTAAAAGCAGCTATCAAGTGCATGTAACTCATGTAACTTGTAGCTGTTGGGGTGCATGTAACCACATGTAACTTGTAGTTGTTGGGTGATGCATGTATAACCACCACAACACTAAATGGGCAGCCTCTTGGTGCTCTATAACAAGGGCCCTCCTACCCATACAATTTTGGACACTTAAAACAATTTTTTAGCCTCTCAACAATTCTTTGCAATTCCAGGAAGCAACCAGTGGGCTAACTCTCTCTCTCTACTCGATTTTGTCTCTTTCTCTCTCCAAACTATCAAGATTCTGGTGTCTCATGTGTGGGTTCCAAGCTCGGGTGTAAAGAGCTTAGAAACATTGTAATAGACCTTTTTGTTTTCCTGTATCCCAATGACGAATTGCCTTCTTATGCACGTCAAATACTATATCGAAGGGGGACAAATATCGTCTTGAGATAGCGCTTCTGCATGCCTGAAAACAAAAAGAGTTCGGGATTCTATTTTTACAAATAGTATCATTTTCTGCCCCCATTTCACCCAAACAATTTCCAACACAATAAATATGGATAATATAGCCTATCTGCCTATGGGCTATAACTTTATAGTCCATATGCTACAGTTCAAGCATAAAAATCTATTATCGATAGACTATTACCCTATTAAAGTTAAGGGTTATAGTCTATAGACTATAGACTTATAATAGACCCTCAAAAAATCTATAATCCATAGACTATAACCTTATTAAGGTTAAAGGTTATAGTCTATATAACCTATGGACTTATAATAGACCCTAAAAAATTACAACTGGAAATAATAAAGAAAACACCCACCAAATTACCTCCATTCGAAACCCTAACCTACTCATTTGAAACTCTCTCTCTCTCTCTCTCTCTCTCTCTCTCTACTACT